GAAAGAAAGAAAGAAAGAAAGAAAGAAAGAAAGAAAGAAAGAAAAAGAGAGAAAGAGAGAAAGAGAGAAAGAGAGAAAGAGAGAAAGAGAGAAAGAGAGAAAGAGAGAAAGAAAGAAAGAAAGAAAGAAAGAAAGAAAGAAAGAAAGAAAGAAAGAAAGAAAGAAAAGAATGGGCTGGAGATATAGCTCAATGTGAAGACCTTAGGTTCAATTCCCAGTATGACAAAAAAAAGAAGGACCTTGGGCTTCCAAAACACTATGTGTAGTGGTTCCAATACAGTGCATGATGAGAGAGATTCCAGATGCTTGTGAACAATGAGCAAAGAATTTCAAGTGCATACTTGAAATTACCCCATGGTAAAAGAAAAAGCAGCTCCACTTACTGAAGCTGAGGGGGGAAGGTGCACTTGGTGGGGAGAGGAGTGGTACCAGGTGGTGCAGAGATTAAGAAGGAATATAAATCAGGCTTTTGGGTTTAAAAAGATGTGCACCCTGCCTAGGGCATCTGTCACTGGATCTCTGGATGTGCTTGACCAAAATGATTGACAATGTTCTGAGTCCCCTCAGGGGTACCTCATGCACACGACATTCCCATCATTCACTCATGTTATAATTACATGTATGATGTACAGTCCTTACATGTGAAGCGTTTGTGAATTTTACGTTACAAAGAACTTAATTCATTAGGAAGCACTTAATGAACTTCGAGTGGGAAAGGCCACTATAGGTCAAGCCATGGTATCTAACACGCATGTGCTCTGACCTGGAGCCTCAGACATTTCCTAGGTCTGTTAGGACAGTGGAGGGAGGGTTGGGCCTGGGGTGTTGCCCAAGTTCAGGTAAGTGGACGGGGAATGTTCACACAGCCCCAGGTGTGCAGTCAACGCTAGCTCCGTGTGCTTGGGCAAGTTACTTAGCCTCTCCGGGCCTCAGAAGATGGAGATCATAGCTCCCACTGTGCTGCTGTGAGTCTCAACAGGTCCACATCCCTACACAGCTTCCCGCCACCCCAGGCAGCCACGGAGTCGGGGCGCCCCTTACCATTACTAATGGTGGATTGTTCTGTGAACTGGCGACATACAGGTGGAAGAAATTAAAAAGATGAAAATCGGCGATCCACTTGACAGAGCTACTGATCACGGGCCTCAAAACCACAAGGCCCATCTGGAGAAGCTGCTGCAGTACTGTGACGCCGGAGTGAAGGAGGGGGCCACCCTGGTGTGTGGGGGGAGACAGGTCCAAAGGCCGGGTAAGACCCTCCGCAGGGTGGCGGGCACCTGCCTCTTTAATTTGAAATCAGGGTAACAGTTTGAAGTAGACGGTGGCATTTATATTACGGACAGAAGAATTAATCCCTGTCCTCCATCTGCACTTAGAAGCTGTGGCGCCTTAGATAACACCATTTTTCTGTGGCTTGGCTTCCTCTCTGTAACATGAGATAAATGGGAGTGCCCTACTTTACGAGGCTGTGCAATGACAAAGTGGGTGTGACAGCTCTCAGCTGTCACACAGGTACCGAGTCACTGTGTTAGGGGGCCCTGGGCACTTTGAGATTTGATCCTGGCCGGCAGAGGCTGGAAGGGTTTGTTCCTGTTGAAAGCAGGGCCTGTTACTGAGACACGTAACTGTCTCAATGCTACAGTTCTCAAAGGAGAGACAGAAACTCATTTTCCCGTTACAGGTAGACCGTGTACAAACACCTCACTCTGAACGTTGACTGGTAATTATAAGAAAAACTGGGACGCCCGGTGTTTCCTGTATGAACTGAATTTCTGGATTACTGCATAGTCCATAAAGCAGATTCTGTTTTATAGAAGAATCTCTGCAAATGAATGTAGACAAAATAATAGAAAAATCACCATTTGTGCCTGTCTCTAATAGATGAAATAATTGATTCAGGAGATGGCGGGCGATGGAGGCTGTGCTTAGGCAAATGGTTGACAGGGACCTGGTGTCTACAAGGTACAAAGCCCATGCCCGAGGCTGCTTGCCAGTCATGAGGGGAGAAACCAGCTCCGCAAGGGAAGGGTCAGGTTGTCATCACCGGAAGCCACGGGTCAGGCTGAGCATCAGCGAGGGACACTGGGTGTTGTGTTCTCCTAGAGGACACTGTAGCCACAGCAGCACCTCTGAAACATTCTTGCCAAAGATCTCACCGGAAGATAATCCAGCATCCAAGCTCAAACTTCCAGTGTATGAGGACTGGGGGGAGAAAGCAGGGAGTCACTGTTCAACAGGTACAGCCAGAAACGGTGTCGGAGGTGCATGATGGTCCAGGTTGTAAGCCATTAGGAAAGCATTTACTGACAAAGCACTGTTTGCTTAAACATGGATAGGATGGTACATTTTACATTATATATTGGGTTAATAACCATTAGTTACTGCGGGCTGATCAGGCTCAGAATCTCACAAATGAGTGGACAGCGAAGGCTTAAATAAATGAGACAGTTGAAATGATTTCAGGGCTCCAGGAGGGTTCAACCCTATTACAGACTTCAAGGTTTGCTGGGTTGATCAAGACTTCCCTGGGCAGCTGTATTTATTAGGTTTTCAAATAAAGGAGGGTGGGGCTGGGGATTTAGCTCAGTGGCACAGCACCTGCCCCGCAAGCACAGGTCGTGAATTTGATTCCCGGTGTGTGTGTGGGGAAATACAGCTCAAATAAAGGAGGGAAATACTGAAGAAAATGCAAGACTCTGGGCAGGACTTGGGAAACCCATTACAGAATTCTCCAGGTAATACTTATGTTAATTTAAGAGAACTATGTTATCTCCAGGAAGGCCTTCACTGCAGGAGTGAGAGTGAGATGCCGGCAGCTACGGTCTCCTCCAGTTAATGGGGATTGGAGCCAAAAGTCCTCAGCTGTGGCCTTATCTTGTCCTTTGAGGCCTCCTAACTTCACAGGCCAATACAGGCCTCAACAGGGCAAGTGGCTCACAGAGGTTCACTTACTATGAGTACACTGCCCATCAAAGGACAAGGACCCAAGCCTCGGACAACTCCCAAGTAAACATGGAAAGCTAATCGGTTAATATTAAATCCTGCTCAGAGCTGCTTCATCACAGTCTCCCTCAATTATATGTAAAAAAAAAAAAAAAAAAAAAAAGAGAAAAGAAATATATGGCATAGAGAAACCAATACCACCCCAAAGAAGAAATCACAAATTTAAAATGTAAGATATTCTACTGGACAGTTTGATCTGGACAGCTGGACATACCACAACAAGTCATGGCATAAAAAAATAAATAAATTAACAGAGGCAAAGCCAGAAACATTTAGGTTAAAAGACACTTGAGAAGTCTAACCAAGGGCAGTGTGTAGAACTTATGAGAGTTCTATTCACAGAAGTTCATTGTAAAAAAAAAAAAAAAAAAAAAAAAGACATTTTCAAACAATAAAAGTAAAAATATAAACCACAAGTGAAGAATTGATATAGGGAAATGAAACTCCCAACCTGAACGATATCTGGGACAAGTTCATGTTCTCTAAAACTGAAGAATGAGTTTTAGGAACAACGGAGGTTCAGAGCAGAATTTATTGAGGGAAAGAAAACTTCTCTCCAAGAGAGACAGAAGGGGACCCGAGTGGGTGGCCAAGGACCCTGTCTTTCCTAGGGATTTTATAGAGAAAAACCACAAGGTGAGGCGGGTCCAAGGGGCAGGGGGAGCGGGAGGGGATGGAAAATCACAAGGTGGGCATGAGGTGGGACAAAACTGTGGTCAGCCAATAAGAATTGTTCAGGAAAAATTGATTAAACCGGGATCAAATGGGGAAGCCAGTCACGTAGCAAGCTGGCATGAATACAGAACAGGGGCTTTTCCTGTAAGGGGTTGGGTCAGGGACTCTTAAGGTGATCGCTACCTATTTAGAATATCAATCCCTGAGGTCCATCCCTAGGGGAGGTTTGTGGGTGTGTTTGTTTATTCTTTCGTTTTGAGGTCTGGCCCACAGCAAGTATGTCTCCATTTGCAAGGTATCTTGTCTTCCATATTGGCTCCTTCGAGGGCCTGGCCCTGTCTGACTGCCTGTAATATTTCGATCTAACTCAGTTGCCTATAACAGAATGAGCATAAATTTTGCTCAGTATAATACCATATTATGATTATATTAAAAAGTCCTGATTTTTAACCGATCTGCACTGAAGTACTTGGGAATGAAGATTATATCGGATCTTGCTTTAAAATACTTTATCAAGGTCAAAACAAAACAGAGCAAAACATGACTATTTTATTTTTACTTTTGCATATATTTAAATTTTTTATAATAAGTATGTGGAAAATAAGAACCTAGGAATCCCACCTCTCACTAGAGACATGAATCTCATCTTGGTTTTACTGAGCCAAGGAGAAAATTGTAATGGAATTAAATAAAGAACTTTCACTGCAAATGACTTAATCTATAATCAATATTCTTTTCTCTTTTATTTCCAAAAAGGCTTTTTTATGGAACCAACTGTGTTCACAGATGTGGAAGACCACATGTTCCTGGCCAAGGAGGAGTCCTTTGGGCCCATTATGGTCATTTCCAAGTTCCAGAACGGGTACGTTCTTCAGACGCAATTGCACTAGATGCCCCTCCCCGCTGGCCTGTATGAATCAATGACTGACTCATTCTCCACCCCCGGAAAATTAGCTTAATTGAATAATTAGAAGCATCTGTTTTTGCTAACCAGTTCTAGAGCCTGATATATTTTTGTTTCTCACTTTACATTAATGGCTGACGTGATGCCACCATTTTAGTTTATGTACAGGCAACATTTGAAATGTCTGTGGACCAAGGTAAAATACTGAGAACAGACATGGCAGTTTCCACATTTACCTTCCTGTGGGAGAAAGCCAGGAAAATCTGATTTTCCCAAAGAAACGGAGCTGCCACTGTAGAGGATTATGGCCCCAGAAGCCTGATGCTCAACTCTTCAGAGAAATGACCATAGTCAGCCAGACATGGTTGCAATCCCAGGACTGGGGAGGCTGAGGCAGGAGGATTATCAGGAGTTTGAGGCTGGCCTGGGCTACATAGTGAGTTCAAGACCAATCTGAAAGATATAACAAGACCCTGTCCCAAAAAAGAAAAAAGAAACAAAAATGTCCACAGTCACTACAGACTGTAAATATATGCTGGTTGTGATAGGATGCAGAATCGCCTCTCATGTTCTCCGTAAGGAAGAGGACAGCATAATAACTGAGGTCATTGATAGGTTTTTCCAGTGCAGAGAGAAGTAAAACAGAATAAAATGCCTTTATTGTGGACGCGGAAAGGCCACAGGAAAGAGAAAAACGTGGCCTCTACTGATCTTTCGTGGGGTCCAAGGTTAAATAGCCCCAGGCTGGAGGCGGGGTTTAGGAGACGCACTGCCTGACATGGCAGACCAGGATTGGGTGGGAGCACGGGGAAAGGGAACAGGATATTACAAAAGGGAAGTAGGAAGTTGTAATCTGACTCAGCAGAAGAAGGGTGGGGCTTAGCCCATGGCCTCTAGTGGCTAGCACCATATTGGCTGGGTGCCGTAGCAACTCAGCAGGAATTACAGCGGGGCAAGAAACCAATCAGTCGTGAAGCCCAACTGAACGCCAGGGCGTCTCATGGTAGACTGCACGGCATTCTTCAGGATGGCTTTGTGTTTCCTCACCAGCAAGGAGCTGGACAAGAATGAATTGGGAATTTGAAGAAGACTTCTCAGTTCCTGGGAGACACAGCCGTCAGAACACATGTGGAGCTGGGCCTCAGGGAGGATGCCCTGCTGTCCTTACAGATCCCCACTGACGGGCGTGTGTTAAGCACACGCGTGTGGCTGTGTCTCCAGGCCCTGTCCTCAAGGAGCTTACCCCCCAGTGGGGAGAAGGGAGGTGGGAAGTTAGGCCTGGGCGCCCTGGGAAGGCAGGGCCTCCATCTCCCAGCCTCCTCTGTGAGCTCCGGCCAGCTCTTTAACCACTCTGCACCTCAGTTCCCTCTCTTGAGAAACTAGGTTAACAATCTTGCCTATCTTTGGGGGCCATTCTGAGGATTAAGGAAGTCAGCGTTTGCTTTCGCTCTGTCACTGCGACGCTGGCTGTCACTCTGGGTGGACGGTGAGCTGCAGAGGGGGCATTGCTGTAGCCCCCAGTGGGAGCCCCGGGGCAGCTTTCCGCCTCCTGCCCACTGTCAGTGTGTGGGTCCCTACCGTGTGCGGTGCATCCAGAGGTGTGAGTTAGAGCGGAGTCTCAGTTCTTTCCAAGTCGGGTTGCAGATTTCCTGTGCACATTTGAAACGGGGTATAGTTTTTCAGATGACCTCTGAAAATCCCTTCACAGGTGCAGTGTTCAGACCCACACTGGTTCTCAATAACGCAGCACAACTCCTCCCTCCAGTTGTGGAACTGACCCTGTCTGTGCTGGGGCAGCAGATGAAATACTTGGGGTGCGTTTTGTGGCTGTTTCCAGAAAATACACGCACTTCTAAGCACTAGGTGCACACTGAGAAAGGGGAGACAGCGGTGGCAGGTCCATTGGAAACGGGCTGTCCTCTGACTTGGGGACACACACTGAGCTGGCCTCCCAGCCCAGGTCCACATCCGAAATCCAGCCAACCTGAGAAGAGATATTGTAAAAAACTGTATCTGTGCTGAATGGAGACAAACATTTTTCTTGTCACCATTCTATACGCAGCACAGTAGCACAATTATTTCTATAGCATTCACGGTGTACTCTGCTAAGATTCCGCAAAGTATACTGCAGGATGTGCACAGGTTAGATGCAAACACCGCCACTTACATAAGGGGATAGAAGGCAAGCGCATCCAAGGAGCTGGGCATCCACAGGGATCCAAGAGCCACTCTTTCAGACGCTCAAGGACAACCGTACATGGGGTCAAAAGGCAGAGAGATTACTGAACAAGCCTTCACTGACGCCCTCTCACCTGATGACCACACATCCACAGTATGAAGAGCTGTCACGTTCTCCCTGGCCTTTGGGAGCGCCCCTCCTGCAACTTACACAAGGTGAATCATCAGCACAGGTAGCGTTAAACCAGCACTCAGAGCTTGCTCCACCCAAACTTTGTGTTTGGAGGAACTTGTGCTCCCAGAAAAGAGCTGACTTCTGTTGAGCAGCTCGTGTGCCCCCGGCACAGGTCCATCTTTCTTGCAGTGAGTCGGGACCCTTGTTGTTGCATCTCTTTTCCCCAGACTAAATGAAGGCCAAGGACAACGGCAGCATCAGGCAGCTGCTCAGGGCCTTCTTCCTCATCTCCACCTCCACCCGGGGCCGCCCTTTTGGCTGGGTTGGTGAGGCCCTGACACCCTGCAGGGGGCGCCAGGGAGCAGAAGCCAAATGTATGGTAACATTGGATGCTCCAAACGTCTAAAGTGGGGCGGAGAGGAGAGGGAGGGCACAGAGGTGTGCAGGATAACCCTGAAGAAGACTGAAGGATGACATCAAATTTGATACTGAAAGGCACTGCATGGTAGAGACAGACATACTGAAATATTACTGTTGTGACACTTAACTGGGGCTTGCTTTCAGGGTCAGCCTGAAACATTTCATCTATATAAATTTAGGCAGGTGGCAGGGAAATTTTCCTGGTTCTAGCACACAGAGGAAAAATGTTAGAACATACAATGTAGTACTTTGCCGTTACATTTGATGGAAGTTTTGATTTGATTTGATTTTTTGTTTTTGAGACAAGGTCTGGTTACGTAGGCCAGGCTGGCCTTCAATTAACCATGCAGCCCAGGCTGCACTCAGACTCACAGTGATCCTCCTGCCTCAGCCTCCTGAATACTGGGATTACAGGTGTGCACCACCATGCCCAGCAGTTTTTAATGAAGTTTTCTTGTCTTCCCTAAAACATCTTGCAGGGACATTGATGGTGTGCTACAGCGAGCAAATAACACGGAGTATGGTCTGGCCTCAGGGGTTTTCACAAGAGACATAAACAAAGCCATGTATGTGAGCGAGAAACTGGATGCAGGGACCGTGTTTATTAACACTTACAACAAGACAGACGTGGCGGCCCCATTCGGCGGAGTCAAGCAGTCTGGCTTTGGGAAAGACTTAGGTAAGGAAGGTCTGCTCATCTACCATTCATCCCCGGTGCCACTTTATTGGGGTAAGAACCCTTAGTTATTGCGGGCTGAGCAGGCCCACAATCTCCCAAATGAGTGGATGGTGAAGGCTTAAATAAATGAGACCGCTGAAATGATTTCAGGGCTCCAGGCAGGTTCAACCCTATTACAGACTTCAAGGTTCTCAGGGTTAAGACCCAGACTTCCTTGGGTGGCCCATATTTATTTGGTTTTCAAATAAGGAAGGGAGATACTGAAGAAAATGCAGGACTCTGGGTAGGACTTGGGAAACCCTTTAAGGAATTCTCCAGGTAATACTTACGTTAATTTAGGAGAACTCACTTAACTTCAGGAAGGCCTTCACTGCGGGAGTGAGATGCCTGCAGCTACAGTCTCCTTTTAGTTAATTGGGGTTGGAGCAAAAAGTCCTCAGCTGTGGCCTTGTGTTTTCCTTTGAGGCCCCATGTCTTCTTCACCCACCAGTACAGGCCTCAGTAGGGATCAGTGACTCCCAAGTAAACATGGAAAGCCGATTGGTCAATGTAAGTCCTGCTCAGAGCTGCTTCATAGTGGTCTCCCTCACCACATGGCAAAAAAAACTCCTGTGAGCTGTTCTGAAGGGCACTTCCTGCCTGGCATGTACATGTGGGCTCACATGGGTACTGCCTTTTGAAAAACGGTAAACAACAGCTGAGTATGGTAGTGCAGGGTAGAATCTCAGCACTCAAGAGGCTGAGGCAGGTGGCCCTCCATGAGTTTGAGACCAGCCTGGGCTTCGTAGTGAGTTGAAGCCCAGCTCTAACTACATAGTGAGACTGCAGCGGCAGACAGAAACACTGACACGTCACCCAGGATTTGGAGGCACATTTATTTACGTCGACAGGCACTGACCTCAAAAAACGTCAGGCCCCACAGGCTCAGGGAGGAAGCTTTTTATGGGGTGTACAGGGAAGTACAGGGGCAGAATGGCTGGTCAACTGGGATTGGTTTGTACAATGTGCATCACAGTGACCGGCCATGTATCATAGTGACCAGCTGTTCCTGGAGATGGAAGCAACAGGAGCTGAAATAAACTGGGCAACCTGGGCCCTGGGTAACCTGAGGTTACCTGGGCAACAAGGGGGGCCATTTTCTGCTATAAAACTAAAAAAAAAACCCACCCCCCCAAAATGAAAAATCTAATCTGAGCAGCACTGGCTCAGGCCTCATTCCACCCCTCCTGTCCACAGTCTGAGAGCACTCCACCTCCTTCAACCGCTCTTCTCTTTCCTAGGTGAGGAAGCCCTAAATGAATACCTCAAAACCAAGACGGTGACGCTGGAGTATTAGACAGTGCCGTCGCCAGGAAACCTTGGCCTCTCACCTGTCCACGGGAGGCAGGAGGACCCAGCCCCCAGCCTAAAAACACACCTACAATCAATGGGGGGGGGATGTCCAGCCTCTTTCTGAGCATTTGCACACGTGCCTGGGTATTTTCTAATCCACATTTTCTACTTTCAAATGATCTGTCTATGCTGTGTGTATTTCTGTGATACCCACATACCTTTTCCTGCAAAGATACAGGGGTGCCGGAGTCTACCTTGAAAGTGTCAGCCTGGCACAGCTGTGCCACACGGGTGCCTTTGTCAGAACCCTGTGCATTACGTGTGCGCAGGTTTTAACGTCTGGGCTGTGAAAAGGGTTTCCCATGATTCTGTGTTCCAGGAACCGTCTGCCTAGGCAGAGGTAAAAGGAGTTCTGACTTCACATTTGGGTTCAGATAAATCTTTGTGCCTTTGCTGTCCTGTTTTTAACCGTTGTGCTGGGAAATCGGCCCATAAACACTCCCTACATATGTACCTGCCAGGGACCAGGTGCTGTTTGTGTTCTGAGTATACAGAAATTAATGACATGGTCCTTGGTCCCATGTGGCTTAAATGCTAGTAAACAGCTATGGACGTGAATTTTGCAGTAGGGTAAAGGACAGAAAGCCTGTGCAGGCTGAGCCAGATTCATGTCAAACCACCCCAGGATCTGTGCGGCTCTAGAAATGGTTTACACCACTTCTCAGAGCGCTGAGTTCCTTGTGTATAAAACAGGGATCGGAGCACCTTCCTCGGAGCCTCACTATGAACACTCAAGGCAGGAACAGGACTCAGGGGATGTTTTCCTCTATCACTATTTTACAAACACCCTAAGCCCGGGTGGCTGCCTCGAGGGCTTAATCTTCTGTACCCATTTTCAGTTTCTGTGTGTGCAAGGCTGCGGGGACGTCGGGACGGAAGCCATACACCCTCCCCCCGGCCCCCCCCCTCCCGGCCCACAGGGAGTGAGGCTTCTCTGCTGCGGGGTCCCCTCATCCTGAGCCCAGCACTCACTGCCTGGCACTGGCTTCACCTGCCTGACTGGACAGGGGCCCCTCTCCAGCCCCAGGGTTGGCACTGTCTCCGTGACACAGCAGCCATCATGTGCTGAGGACTTCCTGTGCGCCAGGACGAGCATGTTTACAGTGTCACCGGGTTTCATGGTCACCGCCTGAGAAAATGAGAGAGTTGAGGAGCTCTTCTTACTGCCTGCACCTGTCAGGTCTACGGCTGCAGCCGGCCACCGGCCCCTGGTCCTTCCCTCCCAGGGTCCTGTTCAAAGTGTAAGTCACATGCTGTCTCTCTTCCGCCCAGACCTGCTCATGTCCCACATTTGGCTTAGAAGGAAGCCCAGGGTATCCCGCACCCTGCCAGCCCTGCTCCTGGATGTGCTGAGCTCCTCTCTGTTCCGTCTCTGTACTGCGCACGCTGCCCTGGCTTCCCTGATGCTCCGGGGTGCAGACCACGCACCCCTCACCCGGGCCTCTGTCCTGACCTCTCCCTCCTCCCAGTAGTGCTGGGAAATGTCCAACAAGCTCCTGTCTATTCGGTGCACCAGGGCCCTGGCTTGCAGCACACGCAGATATCTGCATAAGTAGTCTCTCCCAGGCCGGCTCCGAGATAGAAGTCAGACTTCACCAAACTCGGACTTGGAAGGAGATGCGAGCAATCCACATGCCAGCCAGCCCCAGCCAGCAGCTGACTGCTCCTCCCTGCCACTGTGCCTGAGAGGTCGGGCCAGTGCTTCCTGCCAGGCACGGCTCAGATCAGTCTCAACTACTCTTTCTACGCAGCACACCCTGCCCTCCTCACTCCCTCCACCCTGCGGGATTCCCCTCGCGCTCATCACCGTCCCAGGCGAATTCACCAACCTCTCCATGAGGAGAGAAGCCTCGTCCACAGGGTTGACTTTGCTCAGTTCGGTCCTGCACCTCCTGTGCCCAGCGTGGAGGAGGCGCTCAGTACATACTTGTTCTCACATGGAGAAGAAACCCAAGGAACCACAGCCCTGAAGTGCTCACTCCCTGCAGCGGGCCCTAATCACGCCCAGGTCACTGCATTCCCAGTGCCTGACTCGGTCCCTGGGGAGCGAATATTAAGCACCCACGAAATGTTTTCCATCTGAAAACTCAGCACAGAGGGCATGGTAGGTGTGGCCAGAGCCGGGAGAGGAAGAAAACTGGATTCTTCACACAGCTGCCCATGAAATAAAGCTGTGCAGGAAACCAGGGTAGAAGGAAGACGTGAATAACGGCAGAGAAGACGGGAGGCTGGGTGGGTACCAGAGGTGATCATCATTCCTGATAAATGATATCCGAGTCGATTCTCAGATGATTAAGTCACACCTAAATATGGAAAAAATACCAAGAATGGGGAGGTAAGACTCAGTATAGGCTTTTCGCTCAGAAATAACTCAGCTATCTGAAAATGTTCCACATTTCAATAATATATTTTTAATGGCATTAGTGTGATGTCCCACCTAATGTGATTTGCTTTTCTAATTAGCAAGCAGGAGTGGTGGTGCCTGCCTGGACTCCCAGCACTCAGGAGGCTGAGGCAGGAGGGTCCCTGTGAGGTCAATTCCAGCCTGGGCTACGATGACCCTGACTCAAATATAGGGGCTTTTTTTTTAATGATTGAAAGTGGAACTAAAGGTATTTTTCCTTGGATACACTGCCCTCATTTTTTTTTTTATTTTTGTTTTTTGCTTTTTGTTTTTTTTTCTGGTACCAGGAATAGAACTCACGACCTCACGCTTGCCAGGCAGGCGCTGTGCCACTGAGCTAAATCGCCAGCCCCAACTTTCCTCATTTTGTGTGAACATTCTTTTCTATGATTTTGTCAGTGTCTCAGTTGGATCTGTTTGAGGAGCAAAGGGAGCCTGGGGTTTTGGTGATGCCTGTCATTACAGGACTCTGGGAGCCTGAGGCATGAGGGTGGCACGTCTGAGCCCAGCCTGGGCCATTTAGTGACTTTGCAGCATCTGGTCTCAAAGGAAGAACAGTAAAGCCTGAGGATGTAGTTCAGTGCGAAGGTCCTGGGTTCAACCGCAGAACCAAAAGGACCCAAAGAGAAATTTCTGTGGAAATCTGTTTCCACTCCTCAAGGGTGTCTTACTTACCTATTGCTGTGGAACCAAAGACTCCCCAACCTCAGGACTTACTCAGCAAACACTTCTCTCTCAGTCATCGTGGTCAGAAGCCCTGTGTGCCTCTGGATCCAACCTGAAGCGCTGTGGGCTGTCATTGTAGAGCTTGATCACCTCCAAGGCTCGGTGGCTGAGTCCCTGCTTCCAGCTCTCAGACAGGAGCTGGCAGGATCCACTTCCTGGGGCGTTGGAGCAGAATCAGCTCGTCCTGAATGGGGCTGGAGGCCAATTTGTGTTTTTCCCACTGGGGATTGAACCCAAAGCCTTTTCCCTGAACCACATCCCCAGGCCTTTTGGATTTATTTATTTATTAGATTTTGAGGTGAAGTTTTGCTAAGTTGCTAAATAGCCCAGGCTGATTTGAAGATGAAATCCTCCTGCCTCAGCCTCCCAGTATAAGGATTCCAGGCAGATGCCACCACACCCAGCTTAGAGACCAACTTCTGTTCTTTGGCAAGTATAAGGCTCCTTAGAGAAACCACCAACATGTCAGACAGCTTTGCTCAGAAGGAGAAGAGCTGGAGCAGTGTCTTTGTAACCTAATCCTAGAAGCAATAGCTTGTCATATTCCTCCATTAGAAGTAACTGCATAAATGGAGCTCACACTCAAAAGAAGGGGACTGTGTAAGGACATAAGTCCTTGGAGAGGAAACAACTGAGGCCACCCAGTTTTGTTTTGTTTTATCTTGGCTCACAGTTTGTGGGGGTTTCAGTCCAGATTTGCCTGAATCAAAGGCAGGGCAGCAGGACAGAGGGGCCTAGCAGAGGAGAAACAGCCCTTGGCAGGGCAGTGGGAAGCAGAGAGATCAAGGGAGGAGGAGGGACATCGGCCCTTCCAGGCCAGGCTGCTGTAACCCACCTCCTCTAACCAGTCCCCCTCCCCACATCACATTAGCTATAAACTCATCCACGGACTAAAAACTGATGAGATTCACACACCCACGACTCCAGTCACCTCCCCAAATCACCAGCTATGAGCACATGATGCTTTGGGTGGAACTCCCAGATATAACCATAACACAGACCCAACAGTTCCATGGAATTCTAAGAAAGAATGTTTGAAGGTTTGAACCTGGGTCAGTAGGATTTCTAAGAACATACATAAAATAGAATCCTGTACAGAATATAAAATTCAAAATGTCAAACATTTGCTAAAAAAATTAATGAATATACAAATGACCAAGAAAATATCTGTTATTTTTCTTTTTTCATTTTTTTTTTTGTTTGTTTTTGAGACAGGTCTCGCTGTGTAGTTCAGGCTGTCCTTGAACTCACTAAATAATGCAGGGTGGCTATAACCTTGCAGTGATCCTTCTGCCTCAACCTCCCAAGTGCTAGGAACACAGGTGAGAGCCACCATACCAGGCTCCAGAAAGTATCCTTTAAAAGTAAAACAAGGAAACACGCGATGAATGGCTTCAGAAGCTGGAGGTGCACTGCAGGTCCCTCACTGCTCAAGGGCTCCTTCCTCCTCTGTGACCCAGGGCCATTCCGGGGAAATGAGCCCAAGGGCAGCATGGACAAGGCCCGGTGCCAACTGCATTCCATGAAATAGGTGACTCTCCTGCAGGCCTCACCAGCCCTGGTGACTGCACAGCCCCGCGGGGACATTGGCCAGGCCAGGGTCTCTGTGCAGACGGGCATCGACCCTCTCATGGGGCAACCCCTCTGCAGTGCAGAAGCCCTCACCGCACATGTCATCTTCATGATGCTGGCCAGGAGCCCTTCCTCAGCAAACTCTCAGCTGCCTGGACTTCCGGCCTCCGCCCTGTCGGGGCCTTCACCTGCTGCAGCTCCTCTCCCTCTACCCGCTGTCCTGCTGTCCCCATTGTCACTCAAGGGCTGCTTCTGGGGCTCGGCTCACCTGGCTTTCTTTGGCCAGGGCACAGAGCTTGAGCTCATCCCTTCACAGCCCCTCTCCCGTCCCAGGAGCCCTCTCTGCACTCGGGGCGCCAGCGGGGAGCTCACACTGCTGTCCATGCTGCGGGTGCCACCCCAGGTGGGCCCATG